CCGCTGGGATGTGACACATTCATGGTCTGTTACACTATAAATGCACCAGCATGAGCTACGTGGGCAGCATAGCTGGGAGACGGAAACACTTGAATAGATGACTGTTTTAATCCATCAGTCTGTCAATTATCTTTTAGATTTCCTTCCTTCCTTCCTTCCTTCCTTCCTTCCTTCCTTCCTTCCTTCCTTCCTTCCTTCCTTCCTATATTTTTCAATCACTGTCCTTGTACTTTAATTTTAGGGTTTAGAAAGACAGAGCTGTAGAAATCTGAGTCAGAGAGGGAGTAGAGTTTCCACATGAAAACTGAGTGGAAACCCTAAATAACCCCCTCCCCCCTTTGCTGTCATTGTCAACTTCTGCTTCTGAAATTCACCACACCCGAATTATTAAAGGATACCCGACTCCCTTTGTTCTATCATTTTATCTGGCGTCTATGAGCCTTGGCCGTCTGTTTGCCACCCATGGCACCACCCCCGATAGTCAGAACCAAGGTTTGTATAGAACTGCCGGCTGTGGGTTATTTTGGGTGAAGTGGAGCATGCTAACTATTTCTGGAGGGCGGAGTTGAGGGAGAACACAGCTACTTCACACCTGACCTTTACTGTTTTGTTGGTTTTGTCTTGCATTTTAGTAAGCTCCAGTCTTTAGGACGAGGGAGAGATTTTTTTTTTTTTTGGGGGGGGGGGGTGATACCCTGAAGAGGAAAGCATAGACATTGCTGTCATCTTCATTTACCCATCGTCTGTCAGCCTGAGTATGCAGAGGTCAGCGTAGCGATGCAGACACGTGTAAACACTGGTGCAGTCTGGGTTAAAACATAATTGGGCCAGACAGACGCTTCCTGCACGTCTGCTGACTCGGAGTGCGTCATCTCTGCCTGGAACTTACTGATCCAATGAAAAACATGAAACTGTAATGCTTTTATGGATAAAGGTCATGCCGATGGAGATTGCCGACATTTTGTTGCAGACGTGGCAAAGAATATCATCTGCAGAGAGTGATTTATCCATAGAGAATACAACCTTTTGGCTGAAACGGGCAGGGAAAGATGTAAAATACTACCAATATAATATATTTCTTTGACAAAAAGTCCCATTAATCAATTTGTCAATAATTTGTCAGGGACTGTGATTGAAAAGAGATTTCAGAATTTCAGTTTGTCGCCGATGAGAAGAGTCAAAGGTCTTGATGTTTTAGTTTATTTCATATTTTACTCAAGATTTAATATCCTGGGTGGGAGGTGGGGTTGGACATTTAACGTAAATTGTTCTGTTAAGTCTGAATGAGCAAATTTAATTAATTTGCCTTGTTTATGGCTCCACTGACCCAAATTAGCTGCAATTCCTTCTCAGCTGTACAAATGCTGGGGCTCTTGGGGATTTTAGTGGTGTTCAGTTCAAACACAGAAGGCCAGTTTCATTTAATATGTGTCTCCTCATGTGGAAAAAAAAAGAGCCAAATACTGCTGCTATACTCTGTAAAAATGAATCACCTATTCAATAAAAAGGAATATGAGCGAATTGTTAAAAGGTTTATTATTTTTCTCCAATATAAAGCAGATGACATCAACCGTTTTTTAGGTTTTGCACCTGTAATGGCCAGTAATCTGTAGCCTCACGGACATCCCCCAAAAAATTCAGTGCTGTTCCACTCTTATGCTATTAAAGTAAACTCATACACTCTAAAGATTTATGATGCTTGCAGATTATGAAAAGCCAAAATATAATTATGCGCTGCTCAGCTTAAATCAGCCTCTGGATAACATGTCTCTGCTGGGCAGGTTGGTCATTTATAACCATTCTGGAACATTTTTTATGGCTAGACATGAGAGCCTCGAAGAGAGACGTTTTTTTCTTCTTCCCTATTCTATTCAGCTTGCGTTAAATGACTGAAACCTGCAACACAGAATTTATTCTGGCTCCTGTTTGCCTGTCACACTTCTGTGTGTGTGTGTGTGTGGACCGTTGATATCTTTCTCTGCAGCGTCTGTCATTGATTCTATGGCCATATCCTAACAGCTTGCTCTCAGTTAGTAAAAAATAAATAAATAAAAACCCCTGTGCAAGCATGAGAAAAAAGGAGGTTGTTCTTTTTGGGGGAAGTTTTTCCACTTACAGATGAGGATGTATAATCACTTTCACTAAGCTGACAGAGCTTAAGTTTTTATTCTTCAAGCAATGAAAGAAACACAGACAACATCATTTAAACTTTAATCCCACAAACCCCCTTCAGCTGTGTTAGGGAATATCTTGTTGTAGCATGCACCTCAGCATGTCCCTGTCATTTCCTGTAAATGCTACTTCCCTGAAACATAGTTAGGTACCTCTCTGGATCAGTTTCCAAGCCGGGAGGGACTGCTTCTGCAAACACTGACATTCTGTAACTGAGATATGTTCTGCTCTGGTGCAGACCAGTCACGAGGAAGCAGCCAGGCAGAAGGGTTTCTGTTGTGTGTGGCTGTGAGACCCGAACCCTTTCTGGGTGTCTAACAGAAATCTCTGGCTTTAATGTGACCTAATGTGGGGATGGTTCTCTTGTGTCTGCTGCAAACTTTTCAGATTTGTGTGTTTGCCGAGAAGGGTGCAGTTAAGTTGCTCATCAAAGTGTTTAAGTGTTGATTGAGAAGAGACAGAGGCGGTCAGGGAGACTTTTTATCCCACCCTGATATGGTTTCCAGCTCAGTGGCTGTTGGGCTCTAAGCAGCTGCAACATTGACACTGAAAATCCAGATCAAAGATGAGGTCCAGCCCACCCCCTCTGGCTGCAACATGCATGATGGAAACTTATTCACGCAGAGTTTCTGAACACTTCTTTGGAAGCAGAAAGACTAGCAGAGACATTTGTGATAAAGAACTTAACCATTTATTACATAAAATTGGTTTTTGATGCAGGATTTTTTTGGACTTTGTAAATGTAGTCATCACGTTTAAATGTTTCAAGAGTTGTCATGTAGTCCACAAATGTCTTTGTATTTTTCATTATGTTGTTTGATATAAAAAGGACATACGTGGTAAATCAGAAACAACCAGACTTTTGCCTCATTGTCTGAAGACATTTGGACAGGTACTTTCAAGCATCGCCTAACCCTGCATCACATGACATTACATGAGCATTCTGATCATGATTCAGGTGACCAAGTTAATAATTTGCACCAACAACACTGCATATTGATGGTTGAGGTGTTGTTATGCATTAAACGTTGAATGTGACTGAAATCAGGGCTTCAACTACATACTGTTCAAGTGTCAGCCCCTGGATTTGAAAGATGGTGCATTCCAGTTACCCTACCTAAAGTTGCAAACTCAGAATTTTTAGGACCCCAATATGACAATGGCAAAGAAAGCTGTTGTAGTTCCCCTTATGAGTTTTATTTTAAGATATGCTTTCCACAGGCAAAATGAGGTTTTAATTTGTTTAAATTAGAGTTTCAGCTAACATCTAACTTTAATTTGGGACACACACTTACAAATGTGTCTTGCAAAATAGACATGTTTTTCATCACATTGTACTGTTGTAGATGCAAGGAACTGCCATATTGGATCTGAGTCTAGTAGATCTGTTCCCATTAGGGTTGGGCAATTAATTGCATTTGCAATATAATCGTGATGTAAAATGTAATTTTCAAATGGCAGAGGCTCTAAATTTTACTCGCATTACATTGAACAAAAGTAAGACACTAAATTTCTCACTCCAGCCCTTTCAGTGGCGGTGATGCACTTAATGTGGTTTTGCTGCCACAAAAAATATATAGAGACTTGCAGGTAGCATGCAGTTGACATAACACTTTTTCACACAAAGGTTACAGTAAAGTCCTGCAACAATGGACTATGGACAAGCAAGCCTTCAAAATACTGAAAGCCTGGGGTGAAACATCCACAAGTTTGGGGTTAGTGCAAAGAAAAATTTAAATGAAATCGCAATTGCAATATTGGTTAAAGAAATTGCAATCTTAATTTTTGTCAAAATGGTTCAGTAATACTTACTACCTTCCAAGTGGAAAGTCCGACTTTAGGAGTGTCCAAGTGTCCAGATCAGGTTTTCAATTAACAGGTCAGAAATTCTGAGTTCCTGGAATGGACTTAATGCTTCCTGGATAGATGTACAGTAGAAACGCTTTCAGAAAAACTGAGCAGGAATCAGGTAGCCTCTGATTTAAGGCGGTTTATGGTTGCCATTACCTAGATGATGGAAATTTTACCTACAAGCAACCGGATAATACATATGTTAGCACATGTAGTACTAACGGTTTTCATTGTTAGTTATTTTGTAGAACCATCTTTGAGTAATTTAGTTTATAGACCTTTTTTGCATTTCTCCACCACCCCTGAATATCTAGACAGATTTTTGTTTTTGCAATTTCCTCTTTTTCAAAATACCTCAACAAAGTCAAAATCACCCAGTTCGGCCACAGATCGAGTCGGATTTACACCTCCATTTTATTGGTCCCTTCCAGCATAGCTCTTGCTGGATAATTGTGGAAAATATCTAAAGCTTTAAACATCGTCTTATTATTATATATTATATCATCCACGCTGCAAAATATAAAATCTGAATAAGTCATCTTTTCCTGAATTGAGGAGGAAAGTGGGACACTTAACGAATGGAACAATATAATTTACACTTAAAATAAGTAAACATATCAAGTGCATATTACGTAATTATCTTATTTTAAGAGTAAAAAATCTCCCATTGGCAAAACATCTTATTTAGCTACTCAAATCAACTTAATTTAAGATATTATTTAATTATTTCCTGATCGTCTTTGCAGTGAAATGTTCAAATCTGACTGATCTATCACCTTCATTTGTTTGCTAATATTGTCTAACTAACCTTTGGTGCTGTTTAGGGTCCAAACATTTTAAATATTTCATCATCAACAAAATACAAGATGTGGTTAAGCTTGCAAAGGGATCCTGAGACTGAAAGATTGAAACTGTAAAACTGACATTTGCCTTTGGTGCTTTGTGTTAACTGTTGTCTAACATGTTTTTGTTCACAGCAAAAAGCTTCAGGCAAGGTGCTATTTGACATGGTGTGCTCCCACATGAATCTGATTGAAGGTGACTACTTTGGCCTGGAGTTTCAGAACCACCAAAAGATGACGGTGAGAAAACTGAAGTACAGCTTTGTCTTAATACTGTCAGATTTCTTTCGCTCAGCTCCTTAGACGAGTCTCTTTTGTTCTTCTGCAGGTGTGGTTGGACCACATCAAACCGATTATTAAGCAGCTTCACCGTAAGTGTCTCAATATGCCGTTGAGTCTTGTTCTAACCGTGACTAACAACTGAGTAAAAGTACTGCATAATATCCTTTTGAAATGCAAATGCTCTTTTATTAATAAATCCGTTCCACACAGGACCCAAGCACACGGTCCTGAGGTTTAGTGTGAAGTTTTTTCCACCTGACCATGCACAGCTGCTAGAGGAGCTGACAAGGTGAGCTCCTCTCCAGATCATCTAACTCTCGTTATCTGTGGGATGTCTTTGTCTTCCACTCGGCGCAAAGACGTACGTTGTATACATGTCTGTGTGAATGATCTCTGCTGGGACTGAAGCATAAAAGAAACATGGGCCTCGACTCCCTGATGATTTATTACCCTTTCTAGTTTATAGGATTCAAATGCCATGGCTGCCATGTCGCTGGTTTAGCCCTCTGGAGATTAGCCTGGTGGAGCTAATGGTTTTCTGCTCCTTGTTTAGCTCTGGATGGGCTGCATGCTTCTTAATGAACACAGAGAAGTATTAAATGTGCAACAGATGGCTTGCAAAACATACATCAGGAAAGATTTTATACAGATGTCCTTCTATTCATTTATATTTTTTCATTAATAAATGTATTGCAAATTACTGTCATGGTACGTCACTGATTGACAGATTAAAATTGAAGAATCTCTGTTCCAAAGAGCCTAAGAAACCCCGTCATTAGGTAGAGATAGGTGGAAATGTGTTGGTTTAATAAAAAGGTATTAAAACCTATCAAATTATCTGATATTTTGAAAGCAAGAAATTTAGAAACTTTTTTATCCTTTAAACTGATGCATATTCCTGGCCGTATTAAGGCTACGTTCATACTGCAGCTTAAAGTTATGCAAATCACTTGTTTTTTTTATGCAAATATGCGACCTGCTCATTACAGTCTAAACAACACAGATCAGATTTTTTCTTTTTCTTTTTTTTCTTCAAATTCATCTCAGGCCACTTGGCTATGTGGTCCTAAATCCGATACGCATCTAATCTTTTCAAATAGGAACTGTGTTTGTACCTCCAGGTTGCATTCATTCAACCTTTATGTTATTATTACTAGACAAACGTGACTATTCTGCCTCCTGCTATGCTGAAGCGGAAAGAAAAGCAAACAGCCATGGTGGCTGATATTGCAGAGAGCAGTCAGTGGAGATAAGGCGAGGTTTCTGATTTTATTAATATTTGGAGGGATAGCTCTATGCAGGTCATTTTGTGTTGTGATTTATTTTTTCTTTAAACCAATATTGCGATTTTGATTTTATTCTTATTGGCCTCTGCACTCACCACAAGCATGTAGATGTTTTATTAAAGGAATTTTAGGAAGGATGAGAGAAATGATACTACTATTGACACTACTGGCACTGTGGGTAACTGCAGCCACCAGCCAAGCACCATGTCAAGCAAGTCTTCTACTACAACGACAATGGGGGCGAGCAGGCAGCGTCAATTGACGTCAGATCCATAGGACCGTGCGTTGAATTATTCCCCGACTTTCAGTGTATTATGGAGCACACAGCTTATTCAAGGCAATAGAGAGATACGTGGGTGGGCTCTGTGGTTGTGGTTTTTAATGCTTCATCAGACGTTAGCATTATTAAATTGGACATGCATGTATTATTCCACAATTCCTTCCCTTAGTTCCTTAAACTTGAATAAATGCAGTTCACAGAAAAGATCACATACAAGTCGCTGATATCTGGAAATGTTAACGACCAGTTAAAGGAATCTGATTTCACCAAAAAAAACATCAGAATTGAGTGTTAAGGCCTGCAGTGTGAACGAAGCCATGTTTTTGTTCCGTTATCATGATGCATGTCTGTTTGTGCACAGGTATCTGTTTGCGCTGCAGATCAAACAGGATCTCTCCTGCGGACGTCTGACTTGCAACGACACCAGCGCGGCTCTGATGGTCTCCCACATCATCCAATGTGAGGCTTGCACTGCAGTTTTACTTTGATTGGTTTAAGACAACAAAGCAGTGGCTGATCTGACAACTGTATTTTTTTTCTTTTAATAGATAAGCTGCTGCTTTTCTTTTGCACGGCTTATCATCAAACATTGTCATGCTGCACATGGCATAGCATTTCAAATTGATTATCTTTGTGTTGCCATGGAGACCCCCTTAGTCTAATGTCTTAATATAATCTTGTATAGCTGCAGCAAAGCACCGACTCATTTCCATGGCTCGTCATTTCTGGACCTCATTTCATATCCTTTTAATCAAAGCTAGTTTCTGTTTTTTTTTGTGTGTGTGTGTTTTTTTCATGAAGTATTATTTTGAAGCCAATTTCTTTGTTTTCTTTCTTTCACAGCCGAGATTGGAGACTTTGACGATAGTCACTGCCGCTCACACCTGCTGAACAACAACTACATTCCAGATCAGATGCCCCTGATCGACAAAATCATGGAGTTTCACTCCAAGCATATGTGAGTGCCCCATTTTTAAATTGCAGTTAAAATAATAAAACAAGGTCAGATGGTGAACAGACATTTTTCTTCTCAGCTGTGAACAGGAAATGTTTCTGCAGGCTTTATTGTCCCACCAGGATGTTTTATTACATAGGTGACACATTCAGGAAAGCAGCCACTGAATGAATGGGTTCTCACAGTGCTATACAAAGCACTTATGTTACAAAGCAAATATGTTATTGTAACTTATTTTCAGGCTTCTGATAATGCTTGACGTGAGTCTTTTTGTTTATATCTATTCAAGCTTTGTAGGTCAAGACATTTTTATCAATATTTTTTTTTTTTTCGAAAAAAAGTCACAGTCTTGATAGTCATATTGACTCGAAAGAATCAGTGACTTTGATTTTTAAGGCTTATCCCAAGTTGGCTAGAAGTTTTCTGCCTTGTTGATATGCTACTGAAACCAACTGAGGTCTACATCGGAGTCCTTGATCAATGAAAACATTCCCAAAGGATAATGCTGCCTTCTCAATGTTTTGTATTTGGAGATGCTGTTTTTAGTGAGTGTGAAAACTCCTGCAGGAGACTAACTTGTTCCCAGAAGAGATTATATGCTTCTTTTAGATCACCGAATGACACACACAGCTGTGTTTAGTTGGGTTAGTAGGATAAAAACCCAGTTTTTCCAGCTATTTAGAGGATGGATGAAGCAGTTTGTGAGAAGTGAATTCAAACTCAGGGTTTTTTATTGCACTACTTTTTCATCCTATCTAGTTTAATGCTGTTGGGAGTATATTACTGGAATCCTTCCAGGTCTCCTCACAACATCCAGTCACTCTAAGTATTTCTCCTAAGCTATTAAGGCAGAAGCTTTGCCAACACTTTGTTGCCCTTTGCGTCAAAGTGGGCCATGAGCATACAGCGGTCAGCTCCTGCAGCTTCAGACAAGCTTCACTGCTCTCTTTCAGTTGCCTTTTTTTTCACAGCTGATAGCGATAGCCTTGGCTCCTCTGGCTGGGTGCCACATTGAGTTAAATCCCTTGTTAAGTGGCACATACAGGAAACAGGAAGGCTTATCTACTGATGAGAATTAGGAAAATTAGTTAAGGTGTGCAGCTCCCAGCACAGCCACTACGTCTAATTCATATCTTCATAGCTGCTCTCAAATCTGTGGAGCTTTTAACTTCGAATAAAGAGAAACATATACAAGTATTATGTGTAATAACCTTAAAAAACTTCATTTTTTTTTTCCATTGATTGATTGATTGATTGAGAGATTGACTTAATGGATCCAAAACTTGCAGAAAGACAGAAAACTCAAAAATAAAATTATGACAAAAAAAAAAGAACTAATGTTATTTATAAGAAAGTATTCTACTACAACATCAGGGTGTAAAGAGTAAAAATATAGAATATATTTACAATGAATACATAGGACTACTGATTAGGTAACTCTATCACTTTTTATGGTTTTTAGGAAGACATCCTGAAATGTACTTTTTTTGAACAAAAAATTTGTTTCTGACTCAAAATGTTTTTAGTATTTCCTAAAATATGACAAACCGATGTAAAATGTTGTTATAGTTCATCCTGTTTGTTTCTTCCTCCAATTGCATTTCCAGGTTTACTTGTGGCTTTAAAATTTAAGAGCCACTTCACCAGAACAATAATTTTTCGCTCCCTTGATTACTTGATTTCTCTACCATTCATTTTCTCTATCATACCATTAACCACAACTACCATTAATTACATTCAACATAATATATATATATATAATATATAAATATTCTATGCATTTTTGATACTGTTTTTTAACAAAGATTGTTTTAAATGCAAAATGCTTGACAGCTTTTAATATATTATATATGTGGTTAGCATGCTTGGCATGGTTAGCATGCTTGGCATGGTTAGCATTACTATAAGTTAGCAGAGCTAGCATTACAAAATGAATGCAGAAAACTCTTTACCTGAGATTTCCATCAAGTTCATTTACAGATAAAGGCTGAAATATCTTTTTTTTTAGCCTGTAGCCTTCCTGTTATCTGTTAAAGTCATAATGACTTTTTGCAGTCTGAATGAACTCCACTTCTAATGAAGATATATTCCTTTAAAATCCTTTATATAGCTTAAACTTGTCAGCTGTAAAGTATCTCATCACAAGGTAATTTCTTTGGTGCATCGCTATGTACAGTGTTTCTGAATGACTTTTTGTGTGGAACAATATATTTAAATTAACTTATTTGAATAACGTTCAATAGAGATGAATTTTTGGTGAAAACAACAAAAATTTATAACTTTATATTGAAATGTGTGTTTTAGAGGTCAGTCACCCGCAGAATCAGATTTTCAGTTGCTAGAGGTCGCTCGCAAGTTGGAGATGTACGGGATCCGCCTGCACCCTGCCAAGGATCGAGAAGGAACCAGCTTGAGTCTGGCTGTGGCTCATACAGGCGTTTTGGTCTTCCAGGTCGGCTCACTAAGACAAATGTGAACATTTTGTTTCCTAGCTTTCTCCGCCCCAGAAAAAAAAAAAATATTAAAAGTTTTTTGACGTGCATCACCATTGTAGACACACACGAGGATCAATGCCTTCAACTGGTCCAAGATTCGCAAAATGAGCTTTAAGCGAAAACGTTTCCTCATCAAGCTCAGGCCGGATCTAAATGTAGGTAACGTTTCATCACAGTTGGAGAACCCAAACCGCTTCAAGGTTTTTTATTTATTTATTTATTTATTTTTATGTTGCTTCAGAGTTCCTATCAGGACACTCTGGAGTTTCTGATGGCCAGTAGGGACTGCTGTAAAGTCTTCTGGAAGATCTGTGTGGAATATCACGCCTTCTTCCGCCTATTTGAGGAACCAAAACCCAAACCCAAGCCTGTGCTCTTCTCACGAGGATCGTCCTTCAGATTTAGGTGAGCCTTTCTTCCATCGTAAAGCTGTTCTCCTACAGGACTGCAGACGCTTAATTACCTAATAGTCTGCTACAGCTCTTGCAGAGACACTCATTATTATCTTTCATGTGCTTATGCTGCAGCGGCCGCACACAGAAGCAGGTGATTGATTACGTGAGGGAATCGGAGTTCAAAAGGATCCCGTTTGAAAGGTAGAGGCTAGAGATATGTTGGACTCTCTGTGTTTAAATAAAGGTTTTAATGATGTATAACGTTGACCTACATTATCCAATCTGCCAGGAAACACAGCCGGGTCCGATACAACAGTCGAGTTCAACACAACAGTCGTTTGTCGCCGCTGCCTTCTCCTCGCCACCATGAAGTGCCATCAGAAGTGAGTCTTTGATGGATTTTATTTTGGCACTCGATAGCAAAGCATTACACTATAAAGAATTACTCTTCACGTTCGTTTATTCATGAACTGCATGCAAATTTACAAACTTAGTTTTAGTTGCAGGTTTTTGGTAAAAACACGGCCCTATTGCGTTGACTTGAAGGTATAGTGGAGGATTTTCACAAATTTTTCAAAAGACCCAACCACTGTTTAAAAAAAAATCCACATGTAAAACACTGTACCCGCTCCTGAGAGGGAGCGCCCGTTGAATTTGTGCACAAAAACGTGCACTAGCCATTTCTCCTTGTGCACCCTCTGTTTAAAAGTTGCTGTTTTGATCGCTCATATAAGCTTAATTTTTCAAAGATTTTGAATTTTTCCACTATGCCAGACTCACTACTGGTAAGTGAAAATAGGGCGAGCGCGTAGGATGGCCTTACGTAAACATATCACCAGAATGATTGACAATTAGGAGAACCACTTATTTTAGTGATCCACCCGGAAAAAGAACATCCACCCTTATACCTTTAATTTATGTTTTGCCAAAAAGAATTTGTTAAACTTTATGGGAATTTATGTGATTCATTAACACAAATACATGCATACTTTTGAAGTGGAAGAAAAAAGATACATAATTTTAAAAAGATTATACAAATCAAAATTAAAAAAATGGTTCACCCACCCTTTACTCTAAAACTGCTAATTGTAATCCAGATGGACTTATTCTTTTGACAAAAGCCACCTGTTTTTTTTAAAAAAAAGAGACCATATGTGTGTAATGTAATGATATTATAAATTAGCGGTTGTTAAAGGCTGAAACTGATTTTTTAAATAGTGATCAATAAATGGAGGAAAAAAACTGGATAAAGAATTTGAATGAAAATATAATATTAATATCAGTTAAAAAGAAGAAAATATGTTTTATCCTTATTAGTGTATAAATATTCACAAGGAAGATTATTAGAAATTTAGATAAATAAATAAAAATGCCACTCATTGACAGAACATTCTGTGTCTTAAAATAATGGTGTTATTTGTGTTGGATGCTTCTCATACATCGCAGAAATTTGGAATTTCTTTATCATGCTAATCATCAAAAATTCTGCATTCCTCCAAAAAAACAAAAAACAAAACTCTTCTTTGTTGGAATGCTGACATGAAATCAAAGCTAGGAGGGCACTGAAAATGTGAAGCTTAGATGATAAATTGTCCTTGTGACATTCTTGGCTCTTTTCGAATCCACTGCCTCTGCTCTGGAGGTGTGGAACTTAGTTTTCACGCATTCAAATCAATTATCTGGTAAAAATAAGCTTTTGTTGCTATTATCGAAGCCATGTTGTCCAGACAGAATAATAAAAAGGTCATGAATGTTCACCTTCCAGCAGCTACAGCAAAATTAAATGGTTACATATCAAAGGTTATTCATATCTGCCTCTAAATTAGCAACATTCACTAGATTTTGTTGTATTTATTGCATCATTGTAAATTTATTTAGCTTAATATACGTCCTTTGTACTTACTCCTAACTAGGTAGTTTTAGGCAAGGCGCACTTCTTTAAAAGAACCACTTTTAAACGTTATTAATGGGGGGGCAAAATGTTACTCTTAATTCCTTAAATACTTGTCTTTTTTTACTAACCCTATCAGAGTGGTGTTCCTGAGGACAGACTCAGTTCTTCTCCTCGGCGCCATTGGAAGGAGTCGGTGCTTGTCAGTGCTGAAGATCCAGCAGCTTTACAGGCTTCAAGAATGAGTCCTGTCCAGAGAAACGGCTACGAAGACAGAAAGGGGTCTGTTTCCAAGACTGAGGGATCAAGAGGGTCAACACGACAGACGTCCCCCGAACATCTTAGCCAAGGTTCAGCATCCTGGGCTGCCGCAGGCGGCCGCTCCGCCATCGCTGGTGTAGATACTGAGCTGAACATGGGAAGGGAGAAAGCAAGTAGAGCAAATAACAATTATGGGGAGGAGGGCATTTTGCGTCGGGGCTCCGGTTCTCAGCAGGAGCATTTTCTGGGTAAGATGCAGTACAGGGAGTCTCCTTCCTCCTCCAGGGCTTCCCTTAACAGTAAACATGAGCCATATTGGTCTCTCAATCAGTCACGTCCAAAGTTTAACCTTAGTCCTGGTTACAGCACTGTGGGGGAAATCAGAGGGAATGAGAAAGACAGGCAGAGCAGCAGCCATCTACCATTGAGTACTGCAGCCAATCCTACCAATAAACCCACCCATCGAATACCGTCTCTCAGTTACACGGAGCAGAATGGCTACACATCCCCCTTAATTAATGATGCAAGATACTCCCCCAACCCGAGCAGATCACCTCGCTTACAGAATTTCCAAAAAGTACATCAAAGCTCATGTATAAACCCACATCAGGGTCCATCTCCTACACGTCCGGTTATGTCTCGGGCCGAGCGCATGGCTGCTCTCGAGCGTCGCATGATGGCCAACGGCCTCTCTGCACCGAGCAGATCCGCTGGCGGAAAGAAGCGGTTAGGAAAGATGGGAGTCAAACACGTGGGAGCTGTGCAAATGAGTGAGGGCTCAACCACCAGCGGTACTGAGTCAAGTGAGTCTGAGGTGGAGGACAAAGACAACTGCAGTGGCCCCATGATGTACGACAGCACAGCGGAGGTTAGTTCCCCCATCCCAAGGAACAAGTTCTCCTTTGGGAGCCTCCAGCTGGACGAGGATGCAGAGGATGAGGATGGGTGTCATAATTTTAGTGATGAGGAAGGTGGACAGATTTTCAGCTGTTAATCACGAGGCTGAAAGCTCGGCTTAGGGAATCCCTCGGTTTCCTTGTACTTTTTTTCTTTTCTCAATTATGTCCAAACAGACATTCACAGCTGCCTCTTTAGGTTACCACATTGAATATATTCCTATTTTAAAACAAAGGAAAGCAGATGGTGATTTTAAAAATATAAAATTGTGCAATGCTGTACAAGCTGCAGAAGACTCACCCTAGTGCCTATTTATCTCAAATGTGAAATATCAGTTGATCAATGTCCATGATCAATTTATTTATTTTTTTACCCTTTTCTGTCTATATTAAACAGATATTTTTATGGTGCCTTGCAAAAGTATTTACAAATTTTATAAGTTTGACTCAAATTGTATGCAATAGATCAAAACACAGCAGTGAAAAACTTGAAAGGATAAATAATAAAGCATAGTTCCCAAATTTCTTTTACTAATAAAATCTAGAAACGATCTCCCATGCAACTCTGCTTTTTTCTGATATAATTAAAGAACATTCAATAATTCTAAATGGATTCCAACAACAACCAAAAAAACTGTAAAATATGTGGGCATTTATTTTCATTCCCCCTTATTCAGATAGCCCTAATAACATACAGCAGAAACTGGCTTATCCCTTTAGAAATCACTTAAGATTTTGATTGATCAGACACATTAAAAACCTGTTCCTGTTACTGTGAAATATTTGAATTTCACTTTTTATGTTGATCTATTACCTAAAATCCCAATGATAAGCCTTTCTTTGTACAGTTGGTCTCATTTCAATGCATTATTTACAAAAGAGACCTGTTTGCATATATAAAAAATCACAAGATATTAAAAAAATGTGTTGGTTTATAAGCTTTTGCAAGACACTGTAATTTTCTGTTTTCAGAACCTAAAATTCCTCATAAAT